ATAGATAGATAGATAGATAGATAGATAGATAGCAAATTGTGTTGTCAGAATCTGTGTTCTGTCTGTTTGAATCGCTGTCAATTAAAAATGTTGCTTTTTGAGTCAAGATGTTGTAGTTACAGCATCTTCCAGCAGGGGTTACATGGTCATGCTAACCAGCCAAACTTTGACCCTTCAGTGTCAGATGACCCTGTTATGCTGGGATCTGTGTGCACTGCCAAACATCACGTCAAAAACTGGTTGGTCTGTCACATGTCCATCAGGCAGCCCCTTCCTGTGGGTGGTTTTTGACCAGAGTGAGGCAGAATATGGGTCAGACTTTATACTGATCAAAAGTCTGGCACTGTGAAGCTAACCAAATTCCCACACACAGTAGTCAAGTTAGGCAGCTGTTGCGTGAGTCTGTGGCCAATTAAAACAAATGTGTCCATCGTTTAATCAGGTTTTTTCTTTTAAGAAATCTTGATCCAATTCCAGGGAAAGGACTTCATTAATGTACTGCCATTCATTTATTTGCCTTAAGGGTGTGTGGATCATTTGGCGATGGGTAAACTGTACCATGATGCAACCCCCTGGAGCAAATAAGGATTAAGAGTCACGCTCGAGGCTGAGATTAGAGGGGTCATGAGGACCAGTTGCATTTGCAAATATCTATGGATCAACTGACAGACATTCAAACCAGCAACACTATGATTTGCATTATGGATCTATTACTCACTAAGACATTCTTAACCCAGTCATAAGGGTTCCAAGTAAAGCTACAGTCAGACCTGCCAGACAATCCAGATCTAATTTGCAGCTTCTTCAACCTCTATAAACCTTTAGATATAGCTAATTTAAAAAATGAAGAAATTAATTAAAAATGTACAGATTTCGTGTGTATTTATATATCATATATAGCCTACATATTATATATACATACATTTGTATATCATGTGTATATGTATATATATATATAAAGAGAGAGAGACATGAAGTGTTGGGAAGGTTACTTTGGAAATTATAATAGGTTACAGATTACATGTTACCCTATTCAAAATGTAGCAAGTGGTGTAAATATTTAAATTACTTTAAAGTAATGTAACTGATTACATTTGATTACTTTTCTAAATTTCTAATGAATTTTTTCAACTGTTAATCATTTTCAAACATTTAAACCAGGCAGGGTTAACGTTACAGCAGTACTCAACACTGATTACTGTCAGACTTCTTAAAATCCTTCATCTCTTGAATTAGAGGATAAAAATACAATTTTAAAGCACAGCCACCACAAAATCAAACTTTAGCACCTCTTTTTACTTTGAGATTGTTCTGAGGTTAAATACAGATTTAAAATCATAAGATATATGAGTTTAATAGAGTTTAAATAGTTTAATAGCTATGATACTGTTTTTTAAATCAAATCTTTGCATAGTTATGACAGGAAATAAAGCATATAAACCCAAATAGGAAAAAAAAAAAGTTATCAAATAAACATGTCCTATTCTGTGTCCTAAACTCCTGAAACATTGGTGTCTTTAGAGCAGTCAATGCAATTTGAGAAAGAAATCAGTCACTACTAGTTACTTCCCAACACTTGAGACATTTTATATGAATATATTTATTCATATTATTTATTCATATATATTATGTGAAATTACTATTTGTATGAGATGTACATCTTGCTTTTTTTAATGCAACACTGCATGCTTTGTTAAAGCCCACTTAAAATACATTTATGCTGTCTTGTCGGTTTCCCAAGTGTGGCATTTAGCTGCAGGTGTGCGAAGCCCAGTGAATGTTCTCTTACTTAACATTAGCCATCCGAATACCCACAATTCCAGCTCCAGTGCTTCTGTATTCATAACACACATTCAAAAGACAAATGCAGTTTCTCTAGACACTCTCTCGCTCTGCCTGCCAACGATCACTCATACTGTTCCTCATGTGACTCTCTGAGCCCTCCCTCACCTCTCATGTCACTGTTATTCTTTTCTGTCCCTCCTTCTCTCTCTCTCTCTCTCTCTCTCTCTCTCTCTTATTCTCTCTCTCTCTCGCCCTGTCTAGCTGCATTGTGTGTGTTAGGAATAATTGAAGCTCAATAAGCCATACAGTAATCAGGGAAGCTTTAGGCCAGTGCAGATTTACTCTCATATTTACAGGAGAGAGCATCAGCACTGCACATCAATGCAGTTCATATTCACATTCACATTCTCCCTGCGAGCCAAGCTGTGCTCTGCTTCCTCAAGTGTGTGTGTGTGTGTGTGTGTGTGTGTGTGGCTTGCTTTTCCGTCACACGTCTTAAATAGTATAAGGTAAATTTTATTCAGTGTTATTGTTAACCAGTGTTATTTTTGTATCATTGAGATACTATTATAGTTTTTATTCATATTTTGAATTTTTTTATTCATATATTTTTTGTTGTATTTCAGTTTTATTTATTTTAGTGCATCAAGCATTTCTGACTGAAAATGAGAAATGTTGCCTTGGCAACTAGATAAAGAAAATTATTAAAGTTTTGTATTTTAGTTCAGTTAACATTTACTTTATTTTGTTTAATTTAGCAAAAATGTTTTTTTTTATGGTTTTAGTTAACTAAAACAACAACCCTGTTGTTAACTAATGCTATTAAAATCATTACTAATCAGTAAATTGAAATAACTCTGAAATAAAATATAAATACTAGATGAAAAACTTCAAATTAAAAAAGCTTTAATGAAAATTATAAATGTTTTCTTGGAAACAAATTGAAATAAATACTTAAACTAAAATAAAAATGAAGCTTCAAACTAGGGGTTGACTGATTATGAGCATTTTTATGGTTATCCGTGTTGATCATTTTCAAAACTGATTTGCTGATTAGGGTTGGGTACCGAAACCCGGTACCAATATGGCACCGGTACCTATGTAACCGGTATGTACTAGAACCGAATCCGAACGCAGATTTCGGTGCCATGCCTGAGCGATAGATTTAAATATTTGTCCTCAGGTTCTCCGAAACGGATGTAAGAAGCATCATCACTGGCACCGTACGTGAAAAATTATTTCCCGACTGAGAAAATGCA